GTGGCTGAATTTTTAAATCTATTTTATATCATGGGTAATTAATTAATAGAATCTCTTCTTTGAAATTTTCAGGAGCAATTTATAATCACCACCAAGGCAAATTTTTCTTTACCTCTTTAAACATTTCTACTAAGGTATTTGAGTCTGAATCAGCTAGTAAGATATCACCCATTTAAGGGTAAGTCACAGATTGAGGAAGTTTTTTAAGAATTATTTTTAATGGTTGTTGTACAAAATATTAACACAAGGTAGGGCTGCTTAACATCCATTGTGGAACAATTTTCCACTGATATCTTTTTACAGGCTGGGAATTATTATAAGTAAGCACAGTGAAGGCAATTTTTCTCTATCTTGTTTATGCAAAGGTATAGTTTTTTAAAAAGCAGTAGATTCTTCTCAAATTTCCTCTGTTTGTGAGTGAATATTTTCTTAGTTTCATTTATAGGTCTTTCTAAAGATTGTATCTTATCAGCCAATTTTTCATATTTGACTCCAAAATCAAACATATTTTTGTAAGGATAAAGCATGAATTACCAAAGTGATAATGATTATAATCGACCTCATGTCAATATCAGGTAGGTTTTTATCCCTTCATTTAATTTTTTTTCATTTTGAAGCCATTCAATATGGAACCATACAGAGAACTAACTCCCTGTATCATAATATCGTTCCCCATTATTAACATGTGGAAAAACTTAAAAAAAAATAATAATTCCCCCTTAGAACTTCCCGAGGGTCTGTCCAGATCTGATGATGGTGACAATGAGATGTGAGGCTGGCTGTCAATGTGGTGCATGGCCGGGCTCTGTGGTGCATGGCTTGGCTGAGGACAGCTGCAGCCGTTTGCCCGTAGTTAGGGGTTTAGAACGTGTGGTGATGACAAGCGTAGTAAAAGACCAAGAAGGTATCAAGGCAGCCAGTCTGGTGTGGCAGCAGCCTGAAGAGGGCACACAGGGGAAGCCATCCACCCACAGGGAGGAGTTGACTACCTGAAAAGTGGACACAGGGAGATGTGTGCAAGGAGCCTGCATGGAAGGAAGTGGGGGCATGGGGGCTGCCTGAAGGACAGACCCAGCTGGCAATGGACAGCTAACTCCTATGGCATTTGGTGCCCAGCCACCTGTGGAGTATGGGGCCAGGGACAGCAGCAGCTGGAGGCCACTGTAGAGAAACTACAATGGGAAAACCCCAGATTTGCACAGAGGGCATCGGGGAAGGCCGGAAAAGCCAGCCATAGTGACAACTGCAGCAGCTGCAAAGTCAGTGGACATGTGATCCTCTGCCCCACATTGGGTGCCAGATAGAGCATTCGTCTAATTATTCTTGTTAATAAGAATTCAGGAGTTAGAGATCAGAGTAAGAACCTGAATGATCAGAAAAGCAGTGGGAAAACTGACCACTGAACTACCGTCTCTCTTGTTTTTTGATCCAAAAAAGCCAAGATTTTTCTCTAAGTCCCAGCCTACTACTTCCTGTGTGTCTCTATCTGTGCT